GAAAAATGTCAATCATGGGACCAGAAAAGGACAATAAAAAATGTCAATCATGGGACCAGAAAAGGACAATAAAAAATGTCATTCATGGGACCAGAAAAGGACAGTAACTGTGGTCTCTCATTGGGACTCGTGATCGAATATGAGAAATGGTGTTAAATCTAACATATCCCGAGAATTTCAGGTACAGATGGAATTTTGTTAATATATCGAATGCAAATTATATTAAATCAATGCTTAAATGTTGGATGTTGTTATTCAATTTCGTAGGTGAGTTCTTTAGTCAGAGCTGTGTGCCTGGAGTGTTGGAGCCATCTAACAACCCTTTCAACACCAACCCAGACAATCTGTGTGCACTGTGTAGGGGTGAAGGCGAAAATAAATGCAAGCCCAACCATAACGAGCCCTATGCGGGTTATGACGGTGCGTTCAGGTAGGCGGATTCCAAACCCCCATTAACCCTAACTTCCTGGCATATCACTGGGGTGCAAGACTTAGTACTACAAAATACAACGGAGTAGTCTGACGCTGAAGGACCTAGCCCTACAAATAATTTCTAGTGGCTAGGACACTTCCATTGTTACTCGTACAGAGAACAATAAAGTCATGTATTCATAGTGCCACAGCACTGTATGCTACATTTTACTACTTAGTAGTATTTGTACCATTCAGCGAGACGAATAGGGTTGAGTTCCTCTGCCCCCCCCCCACGTTCCGGTTGGAAGGGGCTCCGGGCGCAGTCATCTCCCTCAGCGGTGACGGAGAGAAAGGCGTGGGCCGACGCATAAACAGACACCGTCAGTGCATTGGAGGTCGAGTTCGGGCGGTCCGTTCTTGACACGGGTTTCTTGTTCTTGCGCTCAAACGGCGGGAACACGACTCAAGAACACTGTTCTCGGAACAGGATCACACCCCACCTCCTCGTCAGGGTTTTACAGGAACACACGGAAAAGTCGTGAGATTTTGATTTTGAACAGCTGCAAAAAGTAGAGAGATGGCTTCCAAAGCCATAGACAATGGGAAGTTTTGCAAAATTAACTTTAATTATTTTCCGTAACAAAGAAATGAATGCTCCTGTTTATATAGAAAAGAATTCAACCCATCCAAACATTAACTCTCGAATAACGTAGCCTACATGGACGCCACCATGTTGCATGTTGCTTGTCACCAACTTCCAGCGATAACCGGTTGTTTGTTCCCGGCGTCCGAGCAGCCGACCCACGAACAACAAATAGAGCTGTTCGTGAACAGACGGGAACATGCCATCCGAACTCGGCCGGAAAGATTCAGGAGAACCCAATGGCGTGGCCGGGGGTGGCCTGGGGAGCACGTGTCTCCTCCCCCCCCCAACAAATTCCCGGTGCCCCCCCCCCAGAGCCCCCCACAGAAAAAAACGGAGGAATGGATATTGAAAAAGGCTAAAAAACACTTGCCCCCCCCAAAAAAAACCCCTCTGAAAGCTGGTGCCCCTATGAGATGCTGGTGCCCCTTTGTACCCCCCTCCACGAGTAGAATCCTAGCCACGCCACGAGGAGGACCTTCAGCCAGTTCAGATCACGCACACTGGGTACTTGGCACATGTGTGATCCGCTGAGGAATTTGTTGCTAGGCAACGAAAACGCCCTCTCTACTTCATGCGGGGAGTCCGCTGTTTGGGGGATCCGCCCAAATTTTTACAGGTTTTCTTAGATTCAAAAACATTTGCTTAACAATATTTCAACTTAGTGGCATATTGCATTGTGAATTGCCCGTATTTCCTAAAATGAGACACTGTATACTGTCATCCCTTACTCTCAAATAGGTGTTTGGTTGAAGACAGTGGCGACGTTGCCTTTGTCAAGCACAGCACTGTGCCCTCAAACGTTAACGGCGACCAATCCTGGAACTCTGGTGTCCGAAAGGAAGACTACCAGTTGCTGTGTCCAGATGGCACCCGGAAGAACATTGACGATTACAGAGATTGTAACCTGGCGAAGTTGCCCTCACACGCTGTTGTGACTGCTGTTGGTAAGACCACTTCACAGCGAGAGGTAATGAAAACTGTGCTGGAGAGTGGACAGGTAAGATGTTTCTTTCTGCAGACTCTAGACACGGGATTTTATTCCATTTGGTGAAAACTCTTGGGATGAATAGACTTGGCTTGCCATCTCATCAGCGAGACCTGTTCGGAGGCATCAAATAGCATGAATTTCTTTCACAATTTCTTTGCAATCAGTTGAATATTATCTGCTCTTGGCAAGGGTATCACATGTAGAAAAATTCACTTCATTGAGACTTTCTTGTCTTTGTTTTTTAATTGCTCTAACCAGGATCAATTCAGATTGGACAACAGCCCTCAAGGTGTCTTCAAGATGTTTGACTCGGCAGGTTATGGTGTTTATGCTCGTGACCTCCTCTTCAAGGATATAACGCTGTATCTGAATGATACCCCCGCCACCTATGACCAGTACCTGAGTCAGGAGTATCGAGATGCCTTGGACGTCCTCTACTGCGAACCGTATTCTACTGAACGCCCTCTACTCGACTCTACTGAACGCCCTCTACTCGACTCTACTGAACGCCCTCTACTCCACTCTACTGAACGCCATCTACTCGACTCTACTGAACGCCCTCTCCTCGACCCTACTGAACGCCCTCGTCGATCCGCGAGACGTTCATCCGCTGCCACTCTCCTCCCCTCCCTCCCGGTGATGATGGTTGCCTGGGTGATGCATCGCCTTTCCCGTGGTTAAGGAGGAGCTGGGTTCCAAAAATGAAGGGTCTCAGCGAGAGGGCCTCAAAGTCGGCATGAGAAGTGCCACATTCTGGCAGCCTAGATTTCGGCGTGAGTCGACGTCAAGACTAGGAAATCTCTCAATTAAAAGCAATGGCCTGTTTTGTTTGGTTTCTGTGTTTTGGTTGTGACTCGCCCATTTAAAACTTAGACAAATTGTTAGCAGTTGTAGTCATCCATTCTGTAGTTCTCAGAGAGATTTGTGGGTGTGTTTATTTCGTTTACGGTAAAATTCATTAGTTTTCATACACTCAGAATCTGAGGTATTCCTATCAAAAGGCATTTTAGCCTTCTCAAATTCACCCTGAAGGGCCAAAGTGAAACTTGAAATTCTTTTCATCCATCGACTGTCTATCTCAGCGGAGCTGAAGTATCATTGGCTTTAAAACATGCTTGCTTTCTTCGTATCTTTCGTTCATCCACATCATTTCTCTGGTTCTTGCATAGCTTTATTTAGCCACATTGTAGTTCTTGATGTGATCAATTCCTTTTTCGATTTGGCTTTCCTTTTTTGTTTGTAGTGTGCAAGCTAACAGGCTCATTTGAGTAATTTCATAGAGGGAGAATTTGACGAAGAAACAGAATGCAGAATGGTACATGAGCCCCTTCAGGGTCAAACCCAGACTGAACCCGCCAGTTGTGTAGCAAAGATGTACTCCTTGAGCCAGCTGGTGGCCCAAAAAGAGTGTGTTGGGTGTGCAAGGGAATGAAAATGAAACGGTCGGATCAGTGTGCGGAAACAGGGCTCCGTTAGATTGGTTTGCTAACATCAAGTACCCCCTCAATTGTTGAAAAGGAGAGAGTGGGGCTACTGGAGGGTATCCACTAATTCAAGCCCCATTGAAAACAGTGTAAAGTCAACACCGTTCAGGGCCCAACATCCCTAAGATTTCTGAAACACAAATGAAATTCTTGTCTGGTCACTAATCTTTCAATATCTTTTCAATTCTTTGTGGGTTAACCAATTACATTTTTAATTATTCCCACAAAACAAAAACAATCCCCAAAAAGTGATTTTTCCGAAGTCTAATTGCACCCATTTTCAAGTGCCAACCCTCAAGTTCTCGGGCACTTAGGACCATTTTTCAACTGTAGTTTTTAGCCATTCTGCTCTCATATGAAAGCTCATAGACCCAGGGAGTTGATCCCGGCAACAATTTACACAATCTCACTATTTGGGGGGTCAAACAATCTCCTTTTTCAAAAGATACTGTGGGGGCACTTTTAATGCTCATGAGCTGGTCAGAAATTCTTACTTGAATTAGTGGTCTGCACCCTGGAGCCTCGGACGCACGCTGGTACGCTGAGCTCACGGGACATCAAGTTGAGGCACTATCAGCGAAGCATCCCGCGTGCTGCCATTCTCGGCTGTGTGTTCAGGTGTTACCAGGGCCGTTTTCCAATACTTGACTTGGGCTCCGTCTTAGGCTTCAACTGTTTTTTTACTTCCTGAGTTGGAGGTTGTAAGCGCAAAAGTAAGTCTGATAGTGCCACAAAACATCAAGTAAGATGCAAAAGAGCCAAACCACACAGTATTTCAATTTAACGTAAACGCTTCAGGCCCACAATCGGGGATTGGTTTCCTTCACGAAGCCTGAGACGGAGACCAGCTGGGTATTGGAAAACTGCCACATGCGCATGCATGTACATGTACATGTACAGCACGTACCTAGCGCGTGTGAGCCAGAAAGCCCTGACTCGTTCCAGCGAGCTAGCACGTGCATCATGCGGTAAACTTCCCACGATTGCTTATTCGAATGTGGTTTGGTGGAAAATGTCACAAGTAGGATTGATTGTCCTGGCGTGAATTGGTTTGTAAAATGAAAAAGTTCAACTAAAATGGAGCTTTTATGTCCATCTCCCCTGGAGCTTGTCAGACTTCCCTGATTGCTTCCATCAGAACCATTTAAGTTCCAAATCCATGTACTAAACCAGACGGCTGAATAAAAGATGCATTTAACTCCATAGCATTGGCAAGAGCTCACAAAGATTACTTAAACTTAGTGCTTGCTCCCTAAAGTAGGCCTAACTACAGAAGTAACATGTTCGTTTCTCTTCTTCCGCCTGCAGAGTCAGACTCTGCAGTTAATCTAAATCTTGAACTCCTCTTTTTTCCCCTTAATGTCAGCCTTAAGTACTCTACAGGGTTTGTTGTCATGGTGATTAATTTCATTTGAAGACAGTTGTCGTCTGAAGCCCCCGTGACCTGAGATGACTTAACTCTGAGGCTTTAAAGTCAGGGTCAAAGAAGCCCCATAAGATGCTGGTGTCCTTTGTGCACCCACTAGTAAAATCCTAGCTACGGCACTGCTTTATATACACATACGGAGCTTTGAAGAGATTTAAAAAAAACAGAGCACCATTCTCTAAAACACTTTGAAACTGTCACAGAATTTGTTCACCAGTTTGAAAAAAAGAGTTGAAATTTATTATAAATTATTTGCTCATTGGAAGGCAAGTTGGTAGCTTATCCTCCTGAATTTGCCTTCACGTGTTAAACTCACGAGCGATATGCGAAGACTTTGCATGGTTAGCGTCATCAAATTGCCAACTGCAATTGTTCAGTTTCAACGACTGGAGAAACGAACAATACACCTTTGACAGTCCCTGGTATTTCACGAGAGATCGATTTCATGACTGAATACTTGGAAATAATTTATGCCGACTTTGAGACCTTTCAAGTTGAAGTTTCAGTTTGTGAGCTAATGCTCGGCTTTTGAATGTACTCCACTTTTTACTCAGCATGAAATGCATTCTTGCTAATAATACGCATGTGTAATAAAATGGTCTACTAATAATGTTATAACCATATATAGCATGTATATGTAAGTTGCATATCGCTGCACTCAGGCTTTTCAACTAACGCGGCACTTCAGTCTCCACCAACATGCAAATTGAGCAATGGTTGATCACCATCTTGGATCCAAGCATGCATGGAGCTATTAAACACAACTCTACCGTAAAATGTCATAACTGACTTTAAAAACGTCCGACTTTTCAACGGCCAAATAACCACCGCTGATTTGGAATTTTCGAGCGCATCTGCGGATATCACTCGCTGGATCCTGACGGGTACTGAGGAGAACTGGGCGTCTTCTTCGTGCATATTTTGTTATGAATGTATCCAGCAAGATCGTAAGGACTTGTATTAGAGACTTGTCAAACAAAATGCAACGTGGACTCTTTTTTTTTAATTGCAGACTTGAACTGTCAGACGTTAAATTGCAGATTATTGACAAAACTAGCTGCATAGGCATTATTTTCTTTTAAAACATATTACGAACCAAAAACATCCAGTTGAATTAATAATAACTGGAGTTGATTCTGGCAACGATTTACACAATCTCACCATTTTGGAGGCCATACAGTCTCCTTTTTCAAAAGATACTGTGGGTGGCACTTTTAATGCTAATGAGCTGGCCAGAAATTCTTGCTTGAATTAGTGGTCTGCACCCTTATACA